TGAAGATGTGATAGCCTATCCAAACGCTATTAGTACAAATCTTTCTTCTCATTGAATTAAGAAAAAGTAGCTGTATATACATCCTAAATATTTTGTATATACACATACAAAGTGGTGCTATATTTTTATCCCATATTTTGTTCAGTTTTGTCAGAGATGGTTAGTCCACTGCCATTTAAATATTGTAGTTGTGTGAATTTGGCAAATATTATAAATATCCTCCAGTAGACCATAGGAGTAGTGGGTTGTCCATAGGACTTGCAATATCAGAAGTTGTTGACTTGAGCCTTTCACAGCTCAGCATATTAATATGGCTCTACTTTTTTATACTTTTCTGCTGGGTGGTTAAGACCAAGATAAAGCAAGAGCTAGATAACTAGAAATGTAACTTTTGTATCTGCCAAGGTCAGTCGAATCCCCTCAGTGTTTAGCCTGAAATCTTGTACCGCAGTTTGCTCATCCACTGTCAGTGTCAGTCATGTGGATGAGTCATTAGCTCCCTGTGAAAGCCTGAGAGAATGTTTTCTCTCCATGTGACTCTCCTTAGGCACACTCTACCAAATCAATCACTTTCCTCTGTGGCCCCATAATCTCTTTGATCAGTAAATTTGAGATACAACTGAGTTACAGGATGTTGCAGTGCAGGTTTTCTTATGTTCTGCGTCCTTGCTGATCTAGAAAGGCTAGGATCAAAATGTTCACTGTATCTATAGTGCTTGTTTTTGTCTAATTTTTGGTCTGCAAATTTAAGTTGTTAACCCTCCAGAAGAGAGGCTTAATGATATTATTACCCTATAACATAGGTAGTTGAGCTTAAACTCAGTATCTGTCTGAATAAAAACATCTTAGACATAGCAGGAAAAGGTATTTTCCATCTAATATTCATATATTAAAATTTAAATCCCTACAGAATGTGAAGGAAAAAAATAAAATAAAAATTAAAAAAAAATAGGAAGGGGCCCGTGAGATGACTAAGTAGAATAAGTTCTTGGCTTACAAGCACAAGGGCCTGAGTTCAATCCCTGGTTCCACCAAATAGATAAATAAATAAGAGTAATTAATTTCCTTTTTTTACTCAGAAATATAGAAATCTAATCATGTACAACATTGTAGCTGGACAGGCCCATGACCTTTTTTTCTTGTCTCTTGTTTTCATTTATTACTGTTTTTTTAAACAAAAATTTACTGAGAGACAGTATAGCAGTAATTGCTATGATGTGACAAGGAATACATATTCAAAAGAACAGAATGACAGGCATTTAAAGCATAACCCTACCATTACACAACCGCTATTTTCAATGCGGTTGGTTAGTTCATGGGTATCAGCATACATAGTTACTCATGTTGGGAATCCTACAAATTAACTGATAGTTACAAAAATATGTTGAAGATTCTCACGATCATTGCCGTAAACAACTTGTCCATAGAAATGTATGGCTTTTTTCCTATAATGTTTCCTAGCTTTTCTACTTGCCTTCTCTTCATTGTTTAATCCTTAAGTTCTTGCTTTCTTTTAATTATAACTTTCTCTTTTTAAATCTTCTTTTGAGTTCTTACATTAGGGAAACTATACGATATTTATACACATGGGTCTGGTTTATTGCACTTGTGAGTATATCTTCAACTGGCATCCACTTAAATATAAAGGCTACAAGTTTATCATTCTTTATATCTAAGTAATACTCCATTGAATAAAAAAAAAAAGCGTAGAGTCCTAGCCCAGGCCCAGTGAGTGTGAGGGACAGCTTCCCACTACCCTGTGCCTGCGGGACCTACTGCTGGACCCAGTCCAGGTGCAGCGTGGGTGAGACCATCTTCTACCCATTTGGGACGACCCCCACCACACCACAGAACCTCCCCCACCCAGCCTGCAGAGTACAAATTTCTGCATATTTCCAGGATCCACCAGACACAGTTCTAGCCCAGGTCCAGTGAGTGTGTGGGAGAGCTTCGGGCTACCCTGCGCCTCCGGAAACAATTACTGGTCTCAGGCCAGACATAACGTGGGTGAGACCCTCTTCCACACCCTTGGGATGCCCCCCACTGATCCGCAAAACCTCCCCCACACAGCCCAGCATGTAGGAATTTCTGCCTTGTTCTTGGAATCCCCAGACCCCGTCCTAGCCCAGGCCCAGTGAGTGTGTGGGAGAGCTGCCTTTCCCCCTACTCCACCGTGTGTCCTCCAGGCTGAGTTCAGGCCTGGCATACAGGCATGGAGTGAAACCCTGCAGCTGAAATCCCTGCAGAGAGTGCAGAGGATAGAACCCAACAGCTAGTCCAGGAGCAGTAGATCTTACGAGAGGGGCACAACAGGTTCACCCTCAAGGGCAGCAGCAGGAAGGAGCTAAGCACAGCAGCCCAACCCAAGCCAGGCACAGCTGGATAAATCCAAACTTTGTAGATCTGCACCTGAACTTCAGTACGTGTTAAGGTTATAACTGCAACAAAGATCTACAACAAAATTCAGAAGACAGTGCTACACAAATTGATGAAAAGGAACAACATGCAACCTCAGAACCCAAGCCCATCTGTAACAAGTGCAGAGGACACTAACACAAAATAAATTGGGAATCACACAGCTGAAAACAATGAATCAATGGCTTCTGAAATAAAGAAACAGCTGCAGAAAAGTATAGAGGAACTCAGATTGGACATAAAAAAAAGAAATCCCTGAAATAATAACATCTGCAGTAAATAATCAAATGCAGAAACATATGGAGGAAACCCAATGCCCACGCAGAACAAGTGCAGAGGACACCAACTCGGCTCAAATGCATGAATTAATAGGATCAATAGTAAATAAGCAATACCAGAAAGTTATAGAGGAACTCAGAGCGCAATATATTTTTTCTTAAATAAAAAAAGAATTCTCAGAACTCATAGAATCTTAAGTAAAGAAACAACTTCAGAAACATAGGGAGGAAACCCAAGCTGAAAAAAACACTGCAGTAAAGGAATTTATAACTGCTTCTACAGAAGACATTGATAAAAAAAAAAATAGACGAGATTAGCAAAATGACGAATTCCTTGAATGGGCAATACAGGAAAGAAATAGATATAGAAAAAATTAAAATCTCAATAACGACCTTGTAAAACCATTTAAATGAAAGTAAAGCAAAGTTTCAGATCTTGAAGATACTGGTGCAGCAACTGAAAAGGTAAGAAAGGATCTCTTAAAAGCAACGAGGATGCAGGAAAGAATAATCAATCACCTGCAAGATGATGCAAAGATGAACAATGTGAGGCTAATAGGCATCAATGAGAAAGAAAGAGTCAATGCAAATGACATTTAAAAAAATTTGGGCAGACGTAATAGCAGAAAACTTCCCAAATATTAGGAAACAATGTGACTTTCAGGTAACCAAAGCATACAAAACGACAACTAACCTCACCCCAATGAAAAACACACCGAGATATAGAAGAGTCAAGATCCCAGAAATTCAGCCTAAGAATAATACACTGAAAGCTGCTAGAGAAAAGAAGCAGATCACATTCAAAGGAAAACCCATCAGAATTATGACTGACTTCTCTTCAAAAAACATGAAGGCAAGAAGAGCATGGAGCAGAGTACTTTAAGTGCTCTATGAAAACAATTTCCAACGCAGACTACTATACACTGAAAAATTCTCTTTCAAGTTTGATGTGGAAGTGAAATACTTTCATGACAAGAACACCTAAAGAATTTCCTGATGACAAAGCCAACCCTACACAGGATCTGAAAGATGTTCTAGAGAGGGAACAAAATGATCAGAACTCCACGAATGATATCAGAATCAACCAACTAAATAGGGTAAGCACAGAAGGAAACACAGAAGGAACAGGAGTAAAGGACAACAGGTAAATAACTTGTCAACTATAAATCATTACATTTCAATTCTAACCATCAATGTAAATTGACTCAATTCACCAATTAGGAGAAATAGACTGGCACAGTATATTAGGAAAGAAAATCCAACAATATGCTGTAAAAAAGAAATACATTTAACTAATAAAGATATTCACAGGCTGAAAGTCTAAGGAATCAGCACAATACTACATGCCCCAGCACCTCAGAAAAAGCAGGGGTAGCAATCCTATTCTGAGACAGTCTCAATTTCAAACCAACAAAGATCAGGCGAAATAAAGAAGGCCTTTACATTCTGGTTAGGGGAAAAATTCAAGAAGAAGAAGTAACATTCATAAATATGTATGCACCAAACATGGGAGCACCCAACTATATAAGGCAAATCTTAATGGACATGAAAAATCTAATATCCAAAATCACAATTTTAACAGGAGACTTTAACACCCCTCTATCTCCAAAAGATAGGTCAAACTCACAAAAACTTAGTAAACAAATAACAGAAATGATCCAGAGCTTGAAACAAATGGACTTGGTGGACATATAAAGAGTGTTCCACCCAAACACACCTGAATATACATTTTTCTCAGATGCACATGTGTCATTTTCTAAAATAGAAAACAAACTGGTCCATAGGTCATGCTGAAGTATATGTGAGAAAATAGAAATTCTCCCATGCACATTATCTCACCACAGTGCAATGAACCCGGAAATAAATGAGAAAACAAACCAGAAAAAATCCTTAAAGACATGCAAATTAAATGACACCCTACTCAGCAACCAATGGGTCACAGATGAAATTAAACAATGAATTCAACAATACCTACAATTCAATGAAAATTCAAGCACAACTTTTTGGAATTTATGGGATACGAAGAAAGCATTTCTCAGAGGGAAATTCATAGCTGTGAACTCACACATTAGGATAACAGAACAAGAACAAATAAATACCTTAATGCTGCACCTTCAACAACTAGAAAAGGAAGAGCAAACCAAACCAAGAGCCCAAAGACGGGAGGAAATCATAAAGACTAGAGCAAAAATTAATTCAATTGAGACAAGGAAAACAATTCAAAGAATTAAAAAAGCAAAAAACTGGTTCTTTGAAAGATGAAATGAAATCAATAAGCCCCTAGCTAACCTCATCAAAAAGAGGGAAGAAAAATTTCAAATACAAGCAATAAGATATGAAAAGAGTGTAATTACCACAGACCCAGTGGAAATTCAGAAGATTATCAATAGCTACTTTGAGAATCTTTACTCTCACAGAATAGAAGACACAGAAGAAATGGACAGATTCCTAGAAATGTACAAATTACCACAACTGAATCCACAAGATATAACCACTCTCAATAGCCCAATAACAGCCAATGAAATATGAGATGTAACCAAAAACCTAATGGCAAAATTCCATGTCCAAATAGATTCACAGCTGAATTCTACAAGACATTTACAGAAGATGTAGTGCCTATACTACTCAAACTCTTCCATGAAATTGAAAAGGAAGCAATCATCCCAAAATCATTCCTGGAGGCAAGTATTATACTGATAGCAAAACCAGTTAAAAACACAACAAAGAAAAAGAATCATAGGCCGAACTTCCTCATGAACATA